TCAGGCGTGGCCAATCCTCTAGCAGGACCACGCCCATCGGGCCTGCAGGTGCTTGACATCCACACACATATACACACACACGCCTACACATACAATAAGTGGAACACCGAACAGAAGCATAGAATTACAAATACATATCACAATATAATTCATAACTGCTCGGGGACCCTGGGTCGCTCCGACCCCGGACCCTGACAAAAACTGAAATTATTGTAGTCTGCCCTAAAAATATTAGAAATATTATGTCTAACCAGATGCTTAATGTGGATAGAATTACTTCCAGTAGCAAGCTTATCCAGCTCCCTATTTAAATGGAGAGCTGGTTCTGGACCTTGCTGTATTTGGGGATGCCTGGTCAAAATTCCACATTATTAAACAAACACTGTAGGACTGCTTTCTTGATTTTGCGCAAGAAAACATCCTGTCTCAGAGTGATGATCAAAAACTAGTTCATGCATTTATTACTTATAGACTGGAATATTGTAATTTAATATTATCAGCCTGTCCTAAAACCAGACTACAGGACCTAACAAAAGCAGGGAGACTAACTAAGAAGAGGAGTAGAAGGTAAGATAACAAACTCAAGGGTACTATGGAAGCAATATCGAACTCATAAGACTTAATATGAATCTTGAACATGATATATTAAAAGGAAAACATAATTATTGGGCCGGTAGTACCCAAATACACCAATCCTTCTCTGCTCCTTTGTGATAACCATCTCTCACCAGCTCAGAGTGCAGCTGTTGCTTTGCTGATGTGCCCGTCTCCTCTGCCTTCTTGTAGCTACTCCTTGACATATTAGGCACCGAACCTTTTATATATTACCATGAGCTACTGTTAGAGTGCCTTGTCTTCAGATTTCAAATAATATGTTGGGCTCCCTGGCCTAAGTTGTTGTTTTCAATAAATTGCATGCTCAAAAAAATGTTTTGTCTCACTCCCATTTCTTCTTGTTACATGTTGAAGCTCTACTTGGAACATTGTTAAGATCCAATGCTCCAAAATATGATTATTTTTGTTGTTGTTGTTGCCATTTTTTCAGGTGGTCTTAAATTTTTGATTCGGACTGTATCTACTTTCCACTTGTCCACTTGATCTGGGTAGCTGTGGCTTAGGAGATAGAGCAGGCGGGGTGCTCTGTTTTGGGGAGCAGTGCCAATTAGGAGGGTGGTACATCTGTCAGAAATAAATAACTACCTATCCTCTGATAGTAAGTGTGGATCCATAGACAAGAGTGTGACAAGATGCCGATGTCGTTTTGGTTCGTGCAACTGGTCCGTCGGGTTATTGTCTCCCCAGAAACATTTCCGTTGTGTCTTGTGTGCGTTTGCAGCGTTTTTCTTTTTGCAACGTTTTTCTTTTTGCAAGTGTTTTCTGAAGTTGCAGTCCGTTTGGCCTCTTAGGGCCACCGTAGGAAGAGACGTTTATGATGGAATTCGCTCCTGGCAGCGCAAAGTATTTAGAATATTGGCCAGGCTTTGGACAAATTTGGCTTTGGTCCTTATTTTCAGAATGCAATTAAAACAATGTACAAAAATGTAAATTGCTCCATCAAACTACAAGCAGGTACATCACCTAGGTTTAACTTGAACCGCGGTATCAGGCAAGGCTGCCCCATCTCCCCATACTTATTTCTCATTTGTGCTCAACTCCTCTCTGATTATATTAAAC